AGTAAGTGCCTTTGCTGGGTGGTTTTCAAACCATCTCTCCAAATCCCACCCCAACCCAATTAAAAGAGAATCTCCATGGCTTCAAAAGCTCCCCAGGTGATCTGAATGTTCGGTGAGGATGGAAGAAAAAGTATGGGCTCTGAAGGTCAGAAAATCTAGATTCAAATCCCAGTTTTGCCACTTAATAGCTGTGATTTGGGCAAGTTACTTAAACTTCCTAACCTTCATTTATCCCAAAGTGTCCACTATGTGCCAAACAGTGTCAAGTGTTAAGTAAAGGTGGTTCTGACCGTCCCCTGTCCTCTAGGAGATTATAGTGGAAGATACAGGAACCAAAGGAAGCCGCACAGAAGCAAACAAACTTAATCCTAAGGGCACAGAGGAAGGAAGTGCAGTCTAGATTCCAGAGGCCAGCAAAAGCTCTAACAAGGTGATAGCAAGGCTGAGTCCTGCAGGACAAGTAATGGTAGCCAGACTGTTTTTAACAAAGGAGGAAGTGTGTGCCAAGACCCTGATATAAGACAATGCAGCTTATTTGGGCGATACAAGTAGTTCAGTAGAACTGGAGCATAAAATAAGAATGAGGGAGGGGCAAGACAGGAGGATCAACAGTGACCTCCGCTTCTGCATCTGCAAAACAGAGATATTATCTACTCTGCTTGGTTACCTCAGAGATCAAATTATATATATATAGCACAGTGCCTTGAACACAATAGGGACTCAAGTGATAAATCGCTTTACTTTTTAGCTTTAATATACAAAGAAAAAAAGCTCTCATTTGATAAGCATCACAAGTCAATCAACACTTTTTCTTCAGGTCATTCATCAAAGCACAGAATTTAATAATAAACTCTTTTCAGCTCTTTATTTTTCCTGGGTGCATCTTACCTACTGTGGATTACTGAGGAGTCAATTCCCAGATCCCAAGGGTGCCAACCAATGGGAATTCCTTCAAAAGGTTCAGACACTTAGGGTGTGCCCCAACACTAGGCTGTAGATAACAAAGGTTTTAATGTACTGATTTAAAGTAAATGGACAGCAGTCATGAAGCAATTCTGAACCAGGACAAGAATAACTTCAAATCTAACCCTGGCTCTGACACTAGTTAATTTACTTTGGGTGAGAGACAGCTTTCTTTGCCTCGGTTTCCTAATCTGTTAAAAAGAGTGTAGAACAGAATCCCTAATAACCCAGAGATACTTTTTAATTGTCACTGCCTGCCTCCCTCCCTCCCATCTTAAGAGATGTGTTAGGTAAGAATCTTCAAAGCTAGCTAGCAACATGCCTCTCCTAGATGGAGATCCTGGAAGTCAGCCGTAGCTGACAGCAAAGATGTGTATCAGACAACATCTCATGGCCAAACGATAAAGCTACATAGACTCTGCAGATGTCCTTTGGCATCAAAATGCCTTGATTCTTTAAAATAGTATGCTGGCTATTTAATAATACATGCCTATAAATCCTAAAAACAAGTCTAAGAATTAATTTATTTCTCAGTTTCCAATCTGGATATTAATGACTCCCAATTTAAAATGAGAGAATACACCCAGAGAAAAATCAATACAGGTTTAGAAAGGCAAACACTGTCAAGATGCTACTTTACTAAACATCTTTCTGTCACAATGCTTACCAGCAAACTTTACTATTCAGCTTTATGTTTTAATATGCTTCAATTTCAAAAAGCTACTTTTCTAACTCTATGAGGTGATGAATGTTAACTAAACTTATTATGATCATTCCCAATATATCATATAGCAAATCAAATATGGTACACCTTAAACAAATACAATGTTATATGTCAATTATATCTCAATAAAATTGGAAAACATACTAGTACAATACAGTCACAGGAACCATATTACCTTAAAATATGGAGTACTTACTCATTATTTTTGGTCTTAAATGTGAAATTTACCATGTTTTAAATGGCATCACAACTTTCCACATGGAGCCACACAAAGCATAATAAATATTTAAAACACTGAATAAAGTCTATTTGATTAAGTACTAAACAAGATGGCTTTTTAAAATACATTTACCTCAGTGAAAGTATACTTCCATGCCAAGTAGGTTTCTTGATAAGAAAAATTTAACAATTTTAGTAACTCAACTGCATATTAATACTGACTTTTGATTTAGAAGACATCTGTATTTAGGAAGAGGTAACCTCTGTGTGTTTATTATGTACCAGTCATTGTGCTAAAGAGATTTATATGCATTATCTCACTCAGTCCTATAAGGTAGGTTCTATTATCATACCTATTCCACAAAGGGGAAGTGGAACTTAGATTTTGTACCTCACTCTGGTAATTACTGATAACTTTATTCTCTGAATTCAGAGCTCAAGAAAGATCCTTAATTTCACTCCTGTTCGAGAAACAGTTGGCTCTAGGTACAACAGATCTTAATTAAAATCTCCAGAAATTTAAAAGTTACATTATAGCAAACTTCATAAACGTGACTGAAATTCCCCTTTAGCCTTCTTTTTAATGTGTCAAAATAATTCTAGGCCCTGAGCTTTCCTAAAGCTTTAATCATTTATGGTGCTCTCTGCTGTACCTACCCATTAGAACAATTTAAAAAAACATTAACACTACCAATTATTTTCAAAAGCCCAAAGATACTAATCAAGTGATCCTAATAGTCTTAAACAGTATCCTCAAACCAAAAGATAAATGGAGATTGGGAAACTTGCATTCTAAAGTGCCACCATCCAGATAAAATTACTCTGTGAATTAGAGTAATTTCAATCAGATCCTATAAAATTGAACATTTTTCTCAAGACCAGAATTAAAGAGTAACTCGAAGACAGTTTAAGGACCCAAACTCTGGAATATAAAATGGTTTGCACATGGCAAATTCAATAGCAAAAGGCAGGCTGTAGGGGCTAGGGAGAGCAGCAACACTTGAGAAAAGTAGTAATAAATAACATTAAAAAAAAAAGTGATTTACCTATTCATTTCACTGGCCATTCTACTTTAATAGAAGCCTGTAATTATTCTCAAAAACCATTTGCTGCTTAAAACAAGACCTAGTATCTTACTAAATGGTGTCCTGAATTTTAAGTTAACACATTACATATTAAGAGAAACCACAATGGCATTTCATGAGCATTAGAAACCCAATTACATTTTCTTAGAGGGCATCTGCATTTATAACAGTCATTAACACACAACAAACTGCTTTATATTATACAAACCAGTGTAGGTGCATACTTTGTTAATTCTGTAACTCATTAATCATTCTTAAAAAGGATTATTTTCTTTAAAAATCAAATGATCACACCATAAACACAACTTATTTTTAAGTGTCACATCAGCTATTTGGTAATAAAGTATCAGATATGTTTTTAAAATAATTGAATTATCACACTAGAGTCTACTTAATATAATGCACTCAGCAAGATAAACCCAAAGTTACTAAATGGAGGATGTACAGACAGGAGATTCCACTTCAGTTATGTGACAGGAAGTACTAGCTATGAAGTTTAGAAACAGGAATACCAAATTCTGTTTCAGCAAAATAAAGAAAGGAAAACGTGCTGGTGAATAAGGGTAAAAGAGGAAGTTTTTAAAGTGAACAATCTGCTATGTATTTAGAGTATTCCAAAAGATTAAAAAAAAAAGGGCCTCACTTTTCCACTAAGCTTATGTGATAATGTACTTCCCTAGGTACACTGGAGCCTGGATTCGCAGTTTCGCTATAACAAGACTGCTTATGATAGGCTCACATTTTACACATACATAGGAAGATAAGGGTGGCTTGTAACATTCAACTGTTAGTTTCATATCTTAAACTAAAGTTTGATGATTATTTTTTTAGCAACGCTACATAAGAACATCACTTCTGAAAAGTGTGTAAGTTTCACAACAATGTGCATATACTTACTACTAAACTGTACACTTAAAAAATGGTTAAGATGGTAAATTTCATGTTGTGTTTTTTACCACACAAAAAAGGGCATAAGTTAACAATTACTTCACTTAAATGTTAACAGTAACTTGTTATGTAAATTTTGATTACTCTAAACCTAAATGCTTAAGCTTAATTTTCAATAAAACTTGTTGTTGTCATCTTTAACAGTTGGATTCATTTTATGTAATTAATTTTTAAAGATACTTCCACACATAAGCAAGTTCTTTAATCCTCAACTACAGAGTGAAGTGAAGCACTATTATCAATTAACATCTTTCAAATCATCTGAATTACTTATTGCCAACAAACACTAGTTATGAAATTATAAGTGTTTTTCTACTTCAGCTGATTCATTCATTCAGTGAAGTGCAAATCTCCAAATTAAGATAGCAAAATCCCTAAACGAATAGGCTTTTCTTAAAGTAGCTTTGGATTGTGAGGTAGGCAATCGCCACATCTCATGCTTCAGCACGACGTGGCCCAGAGTGCTAAGGTCAATCATTTCCAATCACCGTTCTCACCTGGCGCAGCCCTACACCTTTGTCAGGCTGCTGTGAACTCCCATTAGGTTCTGTTCAGAAAAGTGTACAACCTAGGTTAGTCTCATCGCTTGGGAAGTCTGGAGCAATCAGCTTGGCTTGGCCACCTCGGGAGAAAAGTATCCAGAAAAAGAAAACTGGGAACGCTTCAACTTTGCGCAAACCCCCCACCTGAGTCACATCGACCTCCCCTCCAGAAGGGCTGTGTTCAGTGTTCTCGAAAGATCTACCCCTCTCCAACTCAAATGTCATTCCTAGATCAGCTGCTTGAGGGGCCAGCGGAGCTCAACCCACGCCCTGTTCTTCTAGCACCTTCTCCAAGTGCCAGCGCTGGGTTCAGCTCACTCCGCAGCCCCCATCCAAGCCCTAGACGAAGAGGGACCCTGGCCTACGACCCCGCCCACGGACAGCGCTGCCCTCAACAGTCAGCCGGGGGCTCCCCGTCTGGGCAGCTTTAGCCGCCTTAGGGGATCCGCTCCTGAGGCTGCTGGGGGCATCCTGAGACCGCAGGCGAGGTCTCACTGTAGGGGGGAAAGACGGCCTCACCTTGACCCTGATTTCATAGGTGGTGAAGCGGCCCCGGCCGACCCCCACAGTCTGCGGGTTGCTCACATCGATCTCAAGGAAGTTGCTGGGCGGCCCGTAGGCGTCATTCAGATTCTGCGGCTTGGTGATCAGCCGCCGGGTGTCCGCCACCGTCTCCGCCATTTCGCTGTTGCAGCCGCCGCCGCCGCCGCCGCCGCCGCCGTGGGCTCCCTCCGCCCCCTCCGCGTTCCACCGACGCCGCCGCTGCTGGCCGCCGCGGGGACACCAGGCTCGCGCGCAGCGGTCGCGAGGGGAACGAGCACGTAGGGCAGGCGTTCACCCCGCCCGAAGCTCCTCCCTGTGCCCCTCCGGCTTCCGTCTGTCGTGCCCACGGGAGAGACAGCTGACTCGCCGGAACGCCGCGCCTCGGGCCCAGGAGGCCCAGCTGAGGCCGGGGCGGGGAACTAAAGACTTAGAGGATGAGGAAGAGCGGAGCACGGGACTTGTAGTCATGAACAGGTTCCGGCAAGACTACAGCGCCCACAATGCACCGGGCGAGCCGCAGGAATGTGGCCAAAGTGCTTGGGGATCCCGCGGCTGCGGTGGCTGGCGCTCCAGTCTTGCCCGGTCCGCCCCGGCCTGGAGCGGTGGGAAGAACAGCGGAAATGGTCTTCGCGGCCCTGGGAACTGCGGGCACAAAAGTTAAACGGCGAGATATGGAGGTTTGCCGGCAATCGAAACAAAACAGCCGCTGTTAACTCTATGCCAACCCATCTGCAGTCTCACCTTGAACCACTACATGTGCCTTTCTCGGTAACCATTAACAGATGCCTCAAATGATGACTTTGACACCAACTTTGAGAGTTTCACCATACCTGTGTCTGGTTTGATCAATTGAAGGCCGTAAAGTAGGATAGTGAACGAAAAACAAAAGACCTCACGAGATCATATGGCTAAGATCAAACCGTTTTGACTGGTCGGCCTTTAAAAATAACATAGTAGATAGGCTTGAAACCTGCCTGAATGTCCTATGTTTAGGTGACCTGCAACTTTCCCCCTTCATTTTCAACAAAGTCCAAGTAACTTAAAAAAAAAAAAGTGGTAAACGTATCTCTATAGCATTTGAAATGAAGCTGAAGTAAGCCCGTAGAAGACATGAAAAAAAGGCAAAACAAATAGATCGTAGTTCATCTCTAACAAATGCAACTTTTGAACACTGAGGTAGAAGGACAAATTTCTGTCCCTGCCTGGAGAGTTACCTCTTTTAATGTTATATAGTCCCACAACTATTTTTGAGTTTTTAATTTTGTTTCAGAAATTTAATCTGACCTGTACTTTACACTGAAAAATTGTCCAGATCATTAGCAGCTATTCCTAATAACACTAAGAACAGTTGAAATAAAAAAATTACTTAAACATGATATGATTATTTCTCAGAAATGCAACATTCATTAATTCAACAAGCATTTACAGAAGGTCCATTAGGTGTTTTCAACTCTGGATACTAGAGAGATAAGGGTAAGTAACACATGGAAATTCTCTGATCTTATCAAGTTTATAGTCTAGTATATAGTCTATCTTGGGGAGACAAATCAATAAATAATATACCAGCCAATATGATTGGTGTTACAAAGAAAATAAAACTAGATAATGTGATAGTGACTGAGACAAGCTCATTAGAGTAGTCAGAGAAGTCCTCTCTGAGTATATCTCTTTCAAAGAGTAAGGTGTAATATTGAAATAAGTATGCCCAGACAGAACTCCCTGTCTGCTAGACCTGTCTCCTGTTGCAAGAGACCAAATGGGAACTTCACTGGTATGATTGATTATAGCAGTGAGCTCAAGAAATGAGTATAGATGACTTTGAATTTAAGAGACCAAGAACCACTGTATTGTGTTGTCATCCATGACACCTGAACAAAGCAATCATGGGATATTTTCATAGAAAGCTTCTGCCTCATTCCTTGTAGGCCCCTTAGAGCAGCCTTGGGCAGCAGCCACTATTGTGTGAAGTTGGAAAATATCCAGAGAGGATATCACAGCAGCATAGCACAGTCATACAGCTAGAGAAGAGCTTCCCAGTATAAACATCGGGAAAAACTTACCTTTATTTTTCAGGAGATAGATTGTATTCCTAGAAAAATACAAGAAGAATAGGCTACTAGAATTAACAAGAGAATTTAGTGGCTGAATGAAGGTAAAGAAGCTCACATATAGATTTCCTCTGTCTAGGCAATGTCTAGTTAGAGTGGAGATGGAAAAAATTGCCTAGTCACAACAGTGACGAAAAGTTAAAAAAATATGTAGGAAGGCACAGGAACTATTAGAGCAAAATTATAAAATGTTATTAAAGGACATAAACCAAAACCCAAATAAAAAAGAGTCATGTTCCTGGATAGGAGGACTTAATATCAGAAAAATGTCACTTTATCCAAAATGAAGGCTATTACAATGATAATACTAGTGTGGTTGGTTTTACCCTCCCCTTGCCTTGGATGGGTGGGTAGTACTGGACAAGATTATTTTAAAGTTCGTATGTTGGAGAATAACCAAGAAGATTGTAAAAATGAAAAATAAAATTAAAGTGGGATTTGCTTTACCAAATGTTAAAATTCATTATAAAACCACTATAAACATGAGTGTGGTTTGGGCTTTTTGTAAAATAGAGTACAGAAACAAATCCGAATAAAGAACATGATACATAACAAGGAGAGCATTTCAATTCATTGGGGAAATGGTGCTCTTTCACATATTCACAGTTGGATGTCTAGGGGATAGGGGTACCACAGAGCTAGTTCCCTGCATTATACCATATATGAAAAAATTCCAGACTGATTTAAATATAAAAATGAATATATTTGGAGGAAATTTAGGAGAAAAGTTGTATAACCTTGGATAAGAAAGTGCGTCCTAAGCAATATGGGAAATAAGCTATAAAGAAAAAGTCACTTAAGTACATACATTTTAAATAAAAATTATATACCAAAAAGCATAATAAAAAATTGGAAGTATATATGTAACACATAGAATAGTAGAAGGCTAATATTCCTAATATAAAAAGAGCTCCCATAAATTGATAATAAAAAGACAACCCCATAGAAAAATAGGCAAAGAATATGAATAGGGACTTTTCTACATGTTTTTCACATAATGGACTTATCAAATCATAACAAGTCTATGAGTGGATACAATTATTATCCCCATTTTACAAATGGGTAAGCTGGCACAGAGGCTAAATAATTTGAAGATCACTCAATACAAAATGGCAAAACTAGCTCCAGAATTTATATACTTAAACACTATTTCATGCTGTCTCTTAGGTAAGAAATTCAAATGGAGAATAAGCATGAAAATATGTTCAACCTCACTAATCAAATAAATGTACTTTAAAGCAAACATGAAATACTGTTTTCTGTCTATCATATTGGCAAAAATCAAAAGAACAAACATAGCGTTAGGGAGAATGTAGGGAAACAGGCACTTGGATGACATGAGTCTGAATTGTCACAACCCTTGGGAAAAGTAATTTGATCATGTTTCTCAAAATTAAAAACATTCAGGACATTCTGATCCCCAAATGAAATTGTTCTATTTTTATTTCTTAGACTATTACAATGTATTTATTTTCAGTATTAGAATTAAAAGAGGAATATCCATGATGTATTGGTGAGGATCACAGAATGATCTGTCCAGTGTGATCCCATTTTGGTAAACAAAACACTGTTAGCATATATGTGGACTTTTATATGTGCGTATTTTATATGTGCAGACACCAGGCTGTTAACTCTGGTAACTAGAAAGGGAGTAGGTATGGGAAAAGACACAAGTATATTTTAAGGATGGGCTAAGATGTGAAATAGAAAACTTGAACAAATTTTATTTTTTCCTAACAGCCAAATTCTAGAAAATAATTTGTCAGTGTGCCTGTATTACTGTGGGCACCTTGAAAGTTGTGTTCCTTGGGTGGTATATGAGATTATCACAGCTTGATGGCTTTGGTTATTGAGGTTATCCATTCCTCTTCTTTTAGACACTGAACAGTTAGCTCATAGTAATTTCATTTCCTATGAAGACATTGTTACCGGCAAAAGGAGGTGCTGCCTTGTGGGAGCAGTTGGTTTATATTTTCACTTTAAATTTGTAAATGAAGCTTATGTTTTATCAACCAGTCTCTTGTGAACTTGATGAATGCATCACTCCACCAGGCCTGATCGCCTTTAGGAAAATAATATTATAAAACCAAGTAGGTGGACCTCCAAAGAGTCAGACCCTGGAATTGTGACAAACCTAATGAAGTCCTGTAAACTTCTCAAGGGCCAGGCATGGCCACTTTTATATAATTTTTCCGATTCAAAGCATTTCAGTTCTCACACTGTGACCTTCTCCTAAACCTCCACTCCCAGGCTGCTGAGCATCCCTGAAGAAAACCCCAAACCAACTGGCACCTTTGCAAATTTATGTTTTCCAACTTCAGGTAACCAACCCTTCAACATGCCTCAGCAATCCTTAATTTTATCCTCTCCTCTTCTTGCATTTTGTACCCCTTTTCCTTACTCTTAGCAGGAAACCTCACTTCATGCTGCACAAAGAAAAGTAAAAGCCATGAAGCTCAGTATCTTTCCTCACCACTGAAATACAGCTTACAACATGAGTCATCCTCAGAACTTCTCAGAACATTCTCAGAACTCAGAGCACAAGGCAGGTCCGGGCCACTTTCAGCTTGTGAGGATGTGGGCATTTTTAATTTGGTATTGAGGAAATTATTGATAAACATTGTGGTTTGTTTGTTAATTTTAAATACAGCATTTACATGATTCAAAAGTCAATATGTATTTAGAGTATTCATGAAAATACCTACCTCCCATTCCTATCTCCAGCCATCTAGTTCCCCTTTCTATTGACAGCCACTGTTACCAGTTTCTTGTGTATCCTTGAATCCTTCCCAAAAAATTCTAGCATGTAAAATGTATGTGTGTGTATACATATTAACAGAAATGGAATCATAAGCTACACATTTGACCCTTATTTCCCTTAACAATATACCTTAAAGATAGATCCACATTTGTACAGCAGCAAAGTATTCCATTACATGATGTGCCATAATTTAACTTGTCCCCGCCTGACAAATATATATGGTGATCTCAACCTTTCACTCTTACAGTGCTGCAGTTAATATCCTTGAATATGATGTCATTACACATGGGATTACATTTATAAGATAAATTTTTATAAAGGGAATTACTGGGCCAAAGGATATATGCCTTTATGAGATATTGCAAAATTTCCTTCTGTACAGGTTATACCAGTTTACATCCTGTTCAGCAAGGAATGGAAATGCCTGTTTGTCCATAGCTTCACCAAAGCCAAGTTATCAAATTTTTAATCTTTACTAGTCTAAATTATACCCTTATTTTAGTTTTCCTTTTTATGAGTGCAGTTGAGCATCTTTTCATGTTTACAAGGCATTGATATTTTCTTTTTTGTGACCTATGTTAAAATTACACTAAGTAAATTTAAAGATCAAATTG